TTAAGAAACTCCCCAAACACATTTTCCAGAGGGAGGCCGTGATAGGAATGTGGAGTTCCTCCCTGAAATCAGAGGGGGCGTCTGCTGAGGGCCTCCTCCCGCACAACTCAACGCTCTGGTTTTTTTCTTCCGTTTTGTTAGATCACAAATGCCCCCCAGTAGACTTTAGATTACAACATCGCATTCCTTCCCTCTGTACAAATCCATCTTGAGTTTTTAGTTGCCATTAAGCAAGGGGCATTAATTCAAGAAGGGGGACTCGGGGGTGCCTCCCTGCTTTGGGACAAAAAACAGAGGGTGGAAAGAAACAGTTCTGGGCTTGCGGTCCTCACCCACCCTGACTCCAAGCCTGGCTGGACTGATTCTGTCCCTAAATTTCTTGTTTGGAATCCATTCTGATTCCCAATCTTGCCTGCTTCCAAACTGAGCTCTCAGAAGAAGGAATTTCCCCACATTTGGTTTAGAGAAGCTACCACACCTTGCAGGCAGGAGGAAAATGTCACAGCAAGAACGGCTGTGACCCAAAAATCAGAACTAAGTTACACATGCCCCTTTTGCAAACAATGTTTTCCCAGGTTCTGGGTGACAGCATTTACTTCTGGAAGCCTCCAGACGTGGATTTCTGACGTTCTGTGGGAACTCTCGCAGGAGAAACAAGAACCTGATGTCCACAAGACAATAGGCCATTTTAATCAATGCTTAAAATCCAGGGGGAAGGAAGAGGGAGGCTGCAACTGCTAGGGAAGGAATTACTGACAAAGGCCAACCTTGACCTATGATCTCCAATTGCTGAAGGGTCATCTCGGGTCATGCTTAGGGACTCTCCCAGGAAGCATTTGCTTGTGGGGAGTACTGATATGAAGTTGGCAGACCCCTATATCCCCCACAGATTAAAAGCAGTGAGGACCTTCAGAACCAAAATTTGAGCCCCTTATCACCTGACCCTGTCACCCTAAATTGTCAGCACCCTTGCCTGCCATGTCAGTCATGCAAGGCCATGAAAGAGCCCCGGGAATGGCACATCTTCCAGCCAACAAGCAGTTAACGCCACTGCAAGTCACCCCCAGGTGCAGGGTATGCGCAAAGAAGAAAAGAGTCCTATTATGCACCTGAAGGTGCATGTTCACCCACTGTATAAAGCTCTCTATAGCTTGGAGTGAAGAGAAAGGCAGCCAGGGAAAAGGCTGAGTGTGGTCCCTTTCCCAGTATTCCAGACACTCCTCACCACACACCACAAAGAACACACATCTACCTCTGCCCATTGATACATACACTTGCCTTGTGGGGACAAGCCACATAGCTGGTCCCAGTTCCTAACCAGAACTGAGAGGTCAGAGTACTGGACAGAGTACAGAACAGGGACTTCCCTGACTGGTGAACAGCAGATGGAAACCTGCTGGAACTAAGAGACTGTCGGACATGGGGAGCCAGGAGGGCTGCCTGTGGCCAGTGACTTCCTTAGGCCTCCAGAAAGTCCCTCGGTGCTCTGCCTGAGGCTACAGGCCTAGTGGAAGCTGGTGCATGTTTGGGGACCAGGAGCCAGTGTCACCTCTGAGAGGCCCGAAAGACAGCCTGGTGCTAGGAGCAACCGTGGTAGCCACAACCAGCTTGTCTCATACAAGGGTCCTAGGACTAGGCCCAGCCACAGCACCCCTGCAGGGAAAGAACTCTGGTGTGCTTTGGGATGTGGCTGAAGTTGCCCCAGAGAATGAGTCTGGGAGGAACAGATCTGGGCTGTCAGAACTACCAGAAGAGCTGAGCTTCTGGACCTGGATGGGAAAAGAAGGATGCTGCCAGGACCTCCCTCCGCCTTTCCCCCTGCTACCCCGCTCTACCTCCCAGCAATCTGGAACTTTCTGTAAACAAGATGAGCATCTCCAGAGCTCTAGAGCTTGTGTGTATGTTACTTTATTAATCGCCCAGATTTGTTTTTTCCTTTCCTTGCTTTAATTAGACAGAAGAAGAGAAGTGAGGACAGGGGACTCCAGGTAGTCTGTTTTAAAAATTTTAAATTCTCTCTTTATGCTTTGGTCTTTCCATAGTCTATAGCTCTGCCCTTGCAGAGCAAAGCCAGCTGAGTGAGTTTGTGGGGGGGGGGCTTCTCCATCAGTTATTTTCCTTTTCTGGATTTAGCACAGTTCCAGATGAACAGCCGGCACCTAGGAATTGTCTCCTTTAAAAGGAAACATTTTGGGAATGGTCTCAGCCAGGCAGCCCCTGTCTCGTAGACACTGCCCTTTGGGAGGGGTAAAGGTAGGCAGCCCCCTGTGTCTAAATGAACAAATATTCTATATTTTAACTCTCTGTCTCTCGGTGCGGGACTTAGCTGTAAAGATGAATACTTTGAAACCGAAACAATGATTATGCATCAGATATAAACACCTTAAAACTGCTAGATCATTTTAAAAACCCTTTTTGACAGGAGGGAAAAAGAAAAAAAAAAACTCCACTGGTAACTATACCATACCAAATCTGTTTTAAAACCCATCTTTGTGTCATTCTGGTTTTAGACAACAAGTTCAAAATATTCTGGCCTCTGCCATTTATTTTTCTATTTGACTCCTTTGAGGTAACACAGTGGAGTACAAAAGCTGCTCAAAGACAAATCTGCAGTTTCTACGTTATGGAATTAAGACGGTCACAGGGTAGAGTTCTGTTCATTTGGCCTCGCGTGAGCAGAAGAACTAGGCTTGCTTCCGCTTGTCACAGAACACACTCCCCCTGTCTGACTAGGGCCGCTGGGAGGCACAACCGACAACCTGTGACATATTTTCCTGGCCTCCTTGTTCCTTTCTGAGGCACTCACTATGGTGTGAAGGTACTGAGCCCTTTGAAATAGTAACTTGAACATTGGTGTTGCCACTAAAGCAGCGACGACCTCTTCCGTGGTTAGGGTGAGAGGATCTCTGCTGTCAGCCATCTGGCCTCAATTTCACGGCCATGGTCCAGCTGAAAACTCCCCTCTCTCACTTGTATTGGAGATACCCTGACCCTCACCCCTCGCCAGTGACTGATCCAGGTAAAAGTAGGTAGAACAACGGCAATAAAATGCCGTGACTTTTAGACTCAGTTCAGGTATGCAAACCCCAGGCTCCCTCCTCCCACAGGCTTTGGAAAGTAAGTGCCTACATCATGGGATAGGTTCCCCAGGTAGCCAGCACATAGAGGTCATCTTGAGGAAAATGACACCGACGATCTAAAGAGGACAGCTACTTTATGAGATTTCAGGCAAGATGCCAAATATTGCATTTAATGAAGCCGACGCGTTTCCTCCCAAAATAACAGATACTATCAATGACAGGGCCAGGAAGGACAGGGTGAAGGGGGGCACTTTTGCAAAGCCCACATCCAATTATTGCTTTGTAATATTTTTCTAAAATTGTAAAATGCCCTGCTAGTATCTGAGCTCGTGCAAGTCCTCCTGGTCAAATCTTAACATGTTTGCTATATCCCCCAAATGGTTGACACTGCTATTCTATCCACCATCGATTATGCTACAATATCCTCCCATTCACTTGCCTCTCTGGAAGAATCTATTGTTCCTCAAGACTTTTTTGTTAAAAAGAGAAATTCGTCCTAAATGGAAAATTTTAATTTTTTAAATTATTTTCTTTTGTTTTGTCATTAACTATCTAAACTTCCAGTAAGGAACAGTTTATCTTCATGGCACACTTCCAGGTTTTGAAACAATTTCAGCGTATTTTCTTGTTGTCTTTTTCACTCCTTTTTTCTTGTAAACATGCATGTTTTGGAGAAGACGAGTGGATGGAGACAAGACAAGTGGATCTTACAGGTTTTAAAGCGTTTCATTGGGAAACACAAATGAGAACACGTGATTACTTCCCGGCGGTCTAGGCAGGTACCAGGGCCAGGATTTGTTTTCCCAAGCAGTCCTACACTTTGTTAGATAAAGAACATTCAGGAAATTAGAATCACGGAGCAGAGTGACAATTTAAATGAACAGTACGCAGCCTCTGGGATCCAGCATGGAAATGGTGTCTATTTGTTCCTATTCATTGTAAAGCCGTCCAGATAGAAGTGTGGTAGATTGGAGGGAAATAACGAAGCATCCTTGCTTACGACTTACTCAATTGCAGTTACTGTACACAGATTCCCCCAAACCACGTGGAATATTTTAAATTAGATTTTAAATATATTTTGACAGCCTGGACTGGTACAGTGTGACTATCCGGGGGAGGAAATGACAAGTCTGTTTTGTTATTAAGCTGCTGTCTAGAAAATATTAGGCTCTGTACGCCAAATGAACGCTATTTTGCCACCCACGTTAGTACAGCTAATAAGAATGAGTGGGTTTTTTTTTTTTATTTTCTTTTTGGAAAGGTAAGCATTTTGAATCATTATGCTTTATATTTCAGTGTAAAATAAAAAGTCCTTTTTTTTTAAAAAAAAAAAAGCAACCTCATTTTCATTTGATCCTTCTGAGTACTCCTGGTTACTAATTTAAACAGAAAAAAATAATAATAAACAAAGGGATGGCATCTACATGCTACTGAGTGTTAAGAGAACACTTGTCGTGATTGCCTGGAGTGCTAGTGAAACAGACCATGGAGATGGGGGAGAGGGCAAAGTCTGGACAAGCAGACACAGTAAGTGCCCGAAGAACTGGACCTAGGGTTCCTCCAAGGCGTTGGCAATGGAAGAAGGCAAAGAAAAGCCCACCAGAAATCATTCATATTCCCCTTCTAGGAACCCAGAACTGCTTGGTTTCCTGTGAACTGAGAACAGTTTCAAAGCCGATACAGGATGGTGTCCTACTTTTAGTGGCCATAACCACGAGGGGGAGGCTTCCTTCACTCAGACCCCATTTCTGGCTCGAGGGGCTGAAACCACCACGCAAGATCAACTAGACCAAACTGGGGTTCTTTTAGCCATCTCTGCCTTGCCATAGATAGTTAAGCTACCTTGCACGTACTGTCCTTCAAAGACTCTTCCTGGATATTAATCACCCTTTGTTTATTTTAATATATTTACTGAATCAGGTACCCAAGGGACTCTTCTACATCTGTGATGTGAGCAAAGCAGTTGCCTGGAGTCAAACAGGTACGCGTGGATCTTCCATGTGCATGTGCTTGTTTGAATGGATTTGCCATGCGAGGGAGGGGACGTAAGCGACCCGAAGCCACAGCAAGCAGCGATGCTGTGCTCCTCAGACATGAGGAGTCCCCGTTTCCAGTCATTCTGGCATTAGTGTCACACATGCAGCATAAATTGTGACTGCAAGAATGACGCAGGCTAATCTGGGTGCGAACCAGCATGCTAGTCTGTATTGATTTCTTTACATTCTTCTCTGCCTCATACAGAAGAACTAATCCAATCTGAACAGATCTCAGCTCCTCACGTGGGTACCACAAAGCTCTCTACCCACCCTGGAGCAGGTAGTCCTTCTCCCTGAATGTCAGATCACTGAATGAATTTGAACAAAACTGACACCCGGTGTCTCGATCTGTTCTGCCTGGATTTGTGAACATTCCACATTTACAATGGCTTAGAATATCTGTTCTCACGTTTGGAGACTTTAGCACGATTTCAGGGCAGAGTATTTTCCTTCTGAACCCACATGTCGGTGGAGCCGCCTTCCACAGCCATCAGAGGCACCACTGGGAGGGAAGGGGACACGTGGAAGGCCACGTTCTGCTTTTCATCTGCTCGAGAAAATAAAGCGGAGCTGTTTAAATGTGTTTTCAACTCTAAGTCTCCCAGCCTGAACTTAACTATGAACCCTCTCCGTTTGGAGAGTCAGGGCAACGCTCTCACAACAACCCTTGCGTAGGGTCATGATTTTATGTGGCCCTTTTGCTGCTCCTCAGCTAGCGAAACAAAGTAGGGTTTCTATTATTATTATTAAAAAGTTTGCTTGCTGAGAAATTTGCATGAAATCCTTGTGTTTTTCCCCCTCCTGGTAGTTAGCGGAACTGAAAGGGGTAAAGGCCACACTGTCAAATTGCACTTTCTCGAAAAGAAGGATCTTGAGGGACACAGTGAACGAGAATATCGGGGGGCGGGAACAACGGAGCTCGCTTTCACTATTTAAAAGTAGTGTCCGATTATTTACAGACATTTGCTGTCGTGAGGAAAGTCTCATCTTTAATAACCGTGCCGTGAATACACAGTACGGTTTCTCTGCTAACCTTATAAAAAAAATTACCAGTTTTCTTTAAGGAATTTCTGTATCTAGATTTGAACTTGGTGTATTCCTGCGGTGTGACTCATACATCCGTACATGCATGTGGTTGTAGTGCTTATTCCTTTTTCGTGTGGGTATTTTTAATTCTAATTTGAAAGTCACCTGTTAAATACAAGGATCCAGGCCTACTGGTAGGTTTGGTGACACTGACACCACTCCTTTTGAGCAAAAAAAAAAAAAAAGTTAATGAACATTAAAAGCAGGTTTCACAGTGGTCCTAACCCCACTAGTAATATTTCATATGAGGTTACCAGTGGGAGAGAAATCAAATTTCAGCTGTGAAGATGATTGACAGGCAGGAGCAAAGGAGAGAAAGGCATTTGGTCAGGAGGGGAATCTTGGGGAAGGACAATGCCTTCAAAGTTCCTTATGGCCTTAGGTATTCTACACCGATATAGGGAACACACAAGGTCTGGAGCTCTGGGGAGAGGTGCTCAGCTTATTTTTGGAAAGTCTCTTTGGCTAAAGGATTTCACTCAGGGAAGTGCGGATATGGCGAGTCAATAGGCTTTCGGCCTCTTGCTAATTTCATCAGGCACAGCTTGGTAGCTCCTGTCTGGTCCTTTCACGTTAAGGTAGGTTTTGAAAATGGAACCACAAGTCTGGAGGGAGCTAGCTAGCTGTATCTAGCTGCTTTTATTTATTGTCAGAAATACAGTCTGGATTATATGATGGTTCATGTCCCTATCACAAAATGCTCATCCAAAGGCTAGAGAGACGGCTCAATTTGCAAGAGCTTCCACTGCTTTTGAAGAAGACCTTCTATTCAGATCCTAGCACTCATATCGGGTGCTTCCCAGCCACCTGTAACTTCAGCTCCAAGATGTCTGACACTCCCTCTGGCCTCTAAGGGGCACCCAACAGATGCAGACAGACAGATAGACAGACAGACTGACACACACTCACACACAACTTTAAAATATTCACCAGTGGTATTACAAGAAGATTAAATCCTCTGCTTTGGCAGACTCCCTTAACCTTGACTAACATTTGCTATTATATGTCACAGACCCAAATCTGCTAACCAGTCCGAATGCATACAGTCCTTCCTTCTCAAGGAAGCTCTCCTAACACGCAAGCCTAAATGCCTGAGCATGGCTGGTCTGCCTTCTATCCAGTCTTGCTTCCCGACTGACTTGTCCCACGGTCGTGACAGTTGCCATGGAAACGAGTGATGCTATGGCCGGACTCTATGGCCCAGGGTGGCTTTAGAGCCAGCCTTTGAAGCTGTCTCCTGGATTGGAGTGTACTAAGTCGTGATCTGACTCCCTGGGATTTGAAGCAAATTAGAGAGCAATCCTAACCTTGTTCCTGGTTCTTACAGTACCGACCCGGGACTTGGAAGGTGGCATCGGGTCATAACCAGCTCATGTGTTTGTTCTGACCATTTCAGATGTTCCTGGTATTGGTTTAGACTCATGTGGATGCAGTCAAGTCATATGGAGCCGCCCAGGGCATGACAGATGAGACACACACACATAAGGGGGAGGCTGGTGATGACTGTCCCATCACCTACAGATGAAATGGGCAGAAACACACCTTGTTCTCATATTTTGTGCCCCACCTTACCCCCAGTCTTTACAGCATGGGCAGGATTTTCTCGAGCCTTCCCTATTCCCATGAGAAATAGTCAAATGTAAGGAAGGCCACCCCCTATTTTAGGAACAGGGTAACATGCAGCCACAAGACGGAGACCAAGTCTTCAAAGTCTTGTCCCTGCTCACCTGTCTCTCGGTGTTTACCTATACGCCTCGGCAAAAAAAATGCAAACCTAAGTTCACTGTTCCCAACGAGCATGGGTGCCTTAGCACAATATGGACGCCGGCTTTGTAACGACGTAAAGATACCACACCCAGTGTCCCCCACAGCAGCTATGAGAATATGTGGTCAGAAAGGATAAATCTGTATTTCCACAGAAAGGAATGCCCCCAAGACTGTGAGTTCTGATGGGCACCTCTGGAAAGATCTGGTCTTGACCATGTCCTCTGATCATGCTGATTGGAGCATTTAGACAATACGTCGCTAGAGTAAATCCTCTAAAGAAGATGATATTCTATCTCACTTGAGCGTTGGTGGTGGGACTATGCTGGTAAATCCCCCAGGAGTGATTTTCAAGCTTATTCACTTTTTTATATTCTTTGGCACTGAGACAATTAGGAAAAAGATTTTGTTTGAAGTGTTTCACGATCCCTGCTCGCCCTAATTGTTTTCTGTTGTGGCTGTCAGTTTATTTAGATAAAGCTCCTCCCCAACCAGAACACCTATTTAATCAATGCCTAGCCTAACCACGCATCTAAATGTCTTGGTCTTTCCCCTAACCTTGAGATACTATTTAAGTTCACGCCTAAAGAAAGAAACATTTTGCATTTAGTAGAGGGACATGAGAGGAGGAAACTTTGCAAACCCTGTCGCCCTCATGACTTCAAACAAAAAAATGGTTCTTTCAATAAAGAAGTTTCATCGCAAAGGCCCGTGGTCAGTCACCTGTCAAATCTCAGACTTAAGAGCTGGGCTTCCACAGGGACATTTAAATTCCCTCCCCTCTTACTGACTCAGTCAGTCATTTCCTCACCCTGCAAAGGACTATCAGGATTTGTGTCGGCCTTTCTGGTTCTGTTCCTGACACCTAGTGAAATTATCAGCAATAAATGAGCTAAACGCTGGGGTTAGGGAGTTTTGTTTGCTTGCTTTCTGTTTCCACTAAAAATATTTGGAAAACATCAGGACAAGGTGTGCCTCTCTCTCTGGGCATCTACTGGGAAGAAAGTAAAGCCATTAATTAGCACCATGCCCTTTTGGATGGAACTAATATCATCCAGAAAGAGAGAGGAGTGTGGTTTCAGGGTTCCGTGGGAAAATCAAACCGGTGGTGGGATTTACAGATATTGTCAGCTGAGTGTTACCGGGGCAGCAAGTGTGTGTAAGCCCTGGTAGATGTTCATACCTCATTAACGGCGCAAGGATGCATCCTGTAGTGGTCGCATCAGGGATCAAAAAAGACAAACAAGAAAGATAAAGGAAGGGAGATCTTGCCGGTAGGATTTTGTTTTCCTCCTTTTGCTCCGCAAGCATCACCTATCGCACTTATTCACTTGCAGCTGCTGAAGGTTTCTGCTTGTCTTTCCTGTCTACTGAAAAGCACAGTAAGTTCCTTTGCTGGCAGGTAGACAGTAGAGGTGAGAATTGAATTGATCGCAAATGCTCCGAGACATTGACCCTGGGGTCATCTTCCCTTAAATTGGGTTCCACACACAAAGTTTCTTTTCTTCCCTGGGTCCTGCCTACTCCCAGCAGCAGAATTGAGTTGGGGGCTGTAATTATTTTTAAAGGAATTCTTAGGCACCAGGGTTGACTCTCCCTCTGTACCCTTAGTCAAAATAGAGACCTTTTGTTACTGACGGTAGTTAATTAAAGGACTGGCGTCTATACCGCTGTGGTGGGCCTCTGGCTTGTTTATATTTTAAAATGAGGTCCATGCCTGACGTACATGAAAAGAAGGGACCAGAACTGCTGTGGGGTTACCAACTGTCCTGAACATCATAACAGAACAGAACAGAACAGAATAGAATTTTCTGTTTACCTTTGTTATTTCTCTGCCTCCTGTTCCTCCTGTGTCTCCTATTCCCCTTCCCCTTCCTCGTTTCCCCTTACAGTTTTCTCCTCTTCCTCTCCCTCCTCCTACTTCACTCTTTCCCACACCCTGCAATGGAAAACCATAGGTTCCTTTAAAAAAAAAAATCTCAAGGCATAACCTGTAGGTTTCACAATGTTGGGATCTCACACTGCACTAAATGAGAGAAAGCGCCTGCTGGCCACAGGTTCAGACCTTCTCTGTTCTGCTCATGGAGGGAAGCAA